CCCTCCGGGCCAAGGGATCCCTCCGGACGTTTATCCGCACTTCGATAATCCACATCCTGGGGCTCTGCCTCGCGCCGGTCGTCGCGGCGCCATGTTCGGGGCCTTGGGTTCGGCCTCTGCTGGCTGTTTTTGTTCAGCAGCTGGGTGAACTCGCCCAAGTACCCCTGACGGATCAGCTCGTCGATTGCTTTCTTTAGTTGGCTGCAATTGTCCGTCAGGTGGCCGGCCCTCTGGTGGTATTCACAGTAGGCCGATTGGTCAAGCCCCATATGCTTCTTCATATCCTGGGGTTCCGTTAGGAGGCCCTTGTCCTTGATGGCCTCAAAGATTTGGCTCACTGGATAGGCCAATGGGACATAGCGGTCGTCCGGCCGCGCCTGAATATCCCCGGACGGAGCCTTCCAGGGGACCATCGCCCCGTCCGTCTTCTTCTTTTTGTTCGGGCGGGAGGGCCCGGGCCCCGGTCTGGGTCCGAGCCTGTCCGCCATCTTTTGTGGGTGGGCCGCGGGAACTCCGTCCCGCTGCCTGATCTCCTCCTCAATGGAGGCATACTTCTGGGCCCGAGCCAGAACCTCGGTGTAGCTGGTGCCGGGGTTCCTCCTTAGGTCCCGGTACAGATCCCCTGTGGCCAGCGCACTGGTGAACATGTTTGTGGCCAGACGTTCGTCCAGATCATCGACCTGCAAGACCTCGTCCCTCCACCTTACCAGGAACCTAGCCAGCGGTTCGTCCCGCCCTTGTTTGATGTGGGCGAGAGCCGTGACGTCCTTCCTGGGGGTGGTACTAGCAGCAAACTGAGCCATGAACTGCCGGGAGAGCTGTTCATATGAGTCGATGGTGCCCGGCCTCAACTGGCCGAACCATTCTTGCGCCGGCCCCCTGAGGGTGCTGAAGAATAATCTGCAGATGGCCTCGTCTGATGCTCCCAGCATGGACAGGTTCCCTTGGTAGCTTATCAGATGGGCCTTGGGATCGCCAGCCCCATTGTACACCAAGTTGCCCGGGGGCCTGCAGTCCCGGGGAATCTCGACGCTCATCACCCGTGGAGTGAAGGGTGATGTGAGAGAGAAAGAGGGTGTGGCCGAGCCGACGTCCGTCCGTCTATTCATCTCGGCTATCTGCCGTTCCATTGCTTCCAGCCTTGCATCCTGTGCGGCCCTTCCGGAGGACACAGGGGGCGCGGCTTCGAGGACGGCATTCTGCTGAGCGGCCACAGCATCGTGCGGCCGCCTGAAGATCTGCGCACCTCGCCGTTGGAAACGTCGTCCAACGGTGTTGAACCTTGGGGTTTCGTCTCCCCGCGGGACTTGGCGGGGAACCGATGGCGTGTGAGCCCTGGATGCAGCGATGCTGACCCTGGTTCGCCCTCCCGTTTCACGGGAGCCTGAACCTCCGCCTAGCCGCTCATGGATTGAGGACCGGTGGTCGCTGGATCCCGTCGTATCATCATACGACTGCATGCGGCGAATGGGGGAGAGGGGCGTTCGCTGGGTGCTTGCTGAGTACACCTGCTCTCGGGCCTCCCGTTCGTCTGCCAAACGGCGCATGGTGTCAGCAAGTTCCCGCATGAGGCGGGGATCCTGCCTGGCCTCGAGGGGAATGAGGTCAGTGATACCCCCATTTCCCCCGGAGGTCCAGATTGTTGCGGACAGTTCCGAGTTCTGGCCGCGATTCCGGCGGCTTGACTCCAGACGTTCGGAGAGGTCGCGCTGGTTGTTGCTTCCTGACATCGTGTTTGCTGTAGGTAGATTTAGTAGCTGTTTGGGAGAGTTTCTGGAAACTTTTTGTTCAGTTTCCCACAGACGGTGCCAGTGTTGAGGTTTATTCCTTCAACCCTTGGACCCAACACGTAAGCCCAAAGGTTTCGAGTGGAGTGAGTGTATGAATATCTAGCCCAACAACTATCAGATGGATCAGGAAACAGGGGAAATAGCAGGCAATGTAAATAGGTATTATTAACTTCGTAATAACCCCCCTAAGTACAATCTACTTGCTAAAAAGGCACGTCGGCCGTTCGTCTTACAAGGCAGTTAGAAATGCTACAAGTAAGAACGCTGAAGCTAGTATGCTAAGAATAGAAAGTTGCCAACCCTTTACAATGAAATAAATGCTTCTATTTATACCCACCAATGGGCCGGTGGCTGTGTTGGCGTGGCAGCCTGTGGACCGCTGGTGCCCCAACTACCAAATCTTCAGCATTAAATGCACTTCCCGCCAGAATCTAGGTTTCCCGCCTAATCAGTGGGGACATTCGTCCGCCCGGGAAGTGAGTTGGATCGCTCCAAGTGACCCTCAAGAGATACCGGCTGTTCGTCTCCTGGCCTTGATAGATACTCACCATGCGGACTGGGTTTCCACCGATGGCTATAGGCTTGCCATGGGGACGTTCGTCGTCATCCCTGGTGGCCCGTGGCCCTGCTCCTTGTCCCTGCATAGACGTTCTTCGGGATGAGCCGCTGGGCCTGAACTCCCAACCCCAGACGCTCGTCCATCCTCAAGGAACAGTGGCCTGTGGGCTGGCCTTGTGTTCTTCTCTGGATGTGCGTCTGGTAAGATGGGGTTAGTGGGCCGGACCTCGGCTTGGGCCCTTAACCCAACAGGAACTAAACAATTATTCATCCAATGTTAAATTAAATATGGAATAGTAAGAATTTAATAATTTGTATTTAGAGAATATAAAAAACCTAAAGACCCGAGAAGTGGGTGAAGTCGCCTCCGGAAGACTCACTCTGCTCTTTATACTTTTGAAAGAAGTTGCCAATTAAAGTATTAGGTTTAGAGTTTAGATTGTTTTTTTTCAACTAGTCTTGTGTCATATCATAAATTTCAGGATCATTACACCAGTCAAAGGAAAAACAGAACCGACGCCAACTAAAATCCAACAACTACGACTGTAAACCATATGATCAGACTTAGAGACGGTCACCCCTGAAAGAGCAACGCGAATCGCTAACCATGTAGCGGGCTTGACACAGCCATCCCTGTTCCCATAGATCCAAACATACTCAATGACATAGAAAAAAGGTTGCAATTTCAAACAAACTGACAAATCTAACATAGACGATAACAAGAATCTAGATGACAAAAAATAATAACTAAAAGGAAGACTTTCACGGACTCTATCACCTTGTACAACCCATAACGGTGGTTCCGGAGGGGGCCGTATACTTGGTATCATTCTAATTGACCCTTCATTGTCAGTCATCATCTGATCTGCTCGAAAGCCGCACAATTCTCCTCGTTCCACTCTCTTAGCAAATCCATCGCCAGCGGTCATCTTCATCGCGGTCATGCCCTTGCTACCCAAACTCATTCTCACCCCCCCCCCCCCAAAATAAAAGAGAACCAATTGGATCTGCCGCACTGCACACCAACAATCCTATCCGGAGTCCGAGCGTTTGGATTTTGGAAGACAAAATCCGGCGAAATTGCAAAGCAGCGCAAAACTGTTCGAAAAAGCAGCCCCATGTCGGCCAAAACTTCCGAGACCTGGGAAGGTTTTGAAGAGATTGTACTAGCGATGGACTCAACCGGTTCTGGGCCCAGTCGGGCCTAGGCCCGGCCGGGCAAAAAAAAATTCTGTGAGGCCCGGGACCGGCCCGAAAGTAGACCGGTGCCGGTCCGGGCCCGGGCCGGGTCCGGTTATATTGTTTTTTGTTTTCTTGATTATTTTTATCCCCTACCCCCCATCCCACAAAACCATCTGAAAGACCCATTCCATCCCATTTAAACCCAGCCCAAAGCCCCAAACCAACAAAAAACAAAAAACAAAATTGAAAGGCCCAAACCGGGCCTGGAACCGGCCGGGCCGGTTCTCATTTACCTAAGCCCGTACCCGACCCGATTACCCACCCCAAACCAGGCTTAGACCCGGAACCGGTACCCGGTTCCCAGGCCGGGCCGGGTGGCCTGAACTGGGTCCAAGCCTAGATTGTACGCCAACCGAAGAAAAGTAGTCGGCCGAAGCCGCCGGAACCCACACCCTGAGGAGGTCGCCGCCGGAGAAAGAGCTAGGCGTTGCGTGAGGAAACCCTAGAGAGAGACGAGAGCTCCACAAGTTTCGATTTTTTAGAGTTTAGATTGTTTAGTAAATGGGTGATTTTTTTTAATTTATTTATATATTTAAAATGTAAAGATATTGGACCCCGAAGTCCATCCCATATGGTTTACTTACAATGGAAAGAAATAAAAAATAATTAACAATTCTCCAATGTGTGTCATAAATGTTACTACGTATAATTTATCTCGAAGGTTTTGCCAACTTCAACCAGGCCCGTGGTGCCTTTGAGGCCGGTGAGACCTTTGCCTCAGCCCACCAAAAAACTAAGGCCCCATTTTAATAGTGCCTTTGTATTATTATTTAGCAGGATCAATATGTTTTTTTAAAATATCTCAAATTAATTATAAAGAAATTGAAGTGAATTCTTATCCTAAGGAGACTAACCGTTACCACATGCCAAAAAAGCTACAATGGATATATCTCAATTCCCCAAACATCTCAATCCTAATAAATACTTTGTATATACCAATTATTTATTTAAGTATTTATTTAAAGCATTTCTCATTATTTTCTCCTCTCAATTCTTTCTCTCAATTCTTTCCCTGCATACGAGTATACTTCTCCAGTCCGACTTTGGGACTTATTTCAAAATTAAGATCAACTACGTCGCAAGACCGATTAGACGGACTAAGTATATTATCTATAGAAAATAATATGCTAGAACATTTAGTAATAAGTGATTTTGCAACTGAAAAACAAGAAAAATAAAGGCTTATTACACACAAAAAAATCCAACGTTTAGAGTTTGTGACAAAACTAGTCTATCATATACATAATTACTCAAACAAAGCCATCCTTTCAATATCCAAGACAAAATTAGTATCCGTTTCCTTCCGTCCATTTTAGTCCGTTAGTTGCTACCTGACACGTGAAAGAAGCTCAAATATTCTGATTCATTAGCCAACGTGTTATTAAACTATTGAATTAATTAATTATTAATTTAGAGGGAATACTAATTCATGAGATACAAGATTGCAAGTCTCCTAGAATCAAATCAATCTACCACATCGGGTTTTCTCTCTAGGGCTACGACTTTGTCGGCCGCTGGAGCTTTTTTCCGATTTTGACTTTGTCGAAGATCGGCTTTGCTTCCCTTGTGTCGCTGGTGCTCGGTTGGAGTCCACGTCAGGCGCGGAGGGCGGAGATAAGTGGAGGAGGGCGGATTTGGTGTTATGGCTCAAGGAGATCGGTGTTGCGGTCATGGTTCGAGGATGCGACGTTGCTGTCGGCGTTGGAGGAGATCGGCGCCGCTTATCATTTTACTCTGGTCGCACGGAGTAGGGATGAGTTTGGTTTTGCAGGGACGGAGGATTGATGCATGGTCTTTGGCAGCCAAAGGTCATGGAGGATCATTTAGCATGGTACCGGTGCTTCGACCTCCTCCTGAACCACCACCATGGGATGTACGAGGTGTTAGAGTTCGTGAACGTTTTCCTAGTAATTTTTATCTGTTTGTCATTTGTTTTCTTGTGTCCATTTTTGCTTTTGGTTTTGACTGTTTGTTTGAGTTTTTTGCCTCTGTTTATGTCATTGGGTATGGTTGGATCTATGAGAACAGGTTTGGCTGTGTCAAGCCCACTACATCGTTAGCGATTCATGTTGCTCTTTCAGGGGTGACCATCTCAAAGTCTCACCATAGGGTTACAGTCATACTTGTTGGAGTTTCAGTTGATGTCAGTTTTATTTTCCTTTTGTTTGATGTAATGATCCTGAATCTTTTGATATGAATAGAGGCCTATTTTTTATGATTTAAAAAAAAAGATTGCAAGTCTCCTTGTTCGTAAAATCCAGCCTTGCCAGTCAAACTCAAAGAAGCTTCTCATGACTCATATAGTCATATGTATGGGTTTAAAAAGAAACTTGGTTTTGAAATATAAATCAAAGGCGTTGGCTTCGACTAGTAAAAGGAATTCACTACCAGGTATTGAAATTTAAAAATTTCACTTTACTTATCCAATGTTACGGCTTATGTTGCTAACTCCAAATTTTTAGTCAATATTACTGCCACTATCCAGAACTACTCCTAATACATTGAAGCCAGACTTTTTGCCATCAATTGCTACTTATCTTACTTCCAGAAACTTAAATCTACAGGAGTTCTAAATGTTTAGATTGACACCAGTGTTGCACAATAGGTGTTTGTCAAAATGACTGAACCGTGTTTCTTAAGTCATTATATCCAAAATTGCAAAAAAATGAATCTTTTTACTGAAAACATATGATTGCATTAAGCCTAAGCAAATGAAATGATGCTGAGGAAATACACACTTTTCAAAAAAAGATGGAAATACCTCCACTTAACCGAGAAGTTTTTTATTGTATTTTTTATTTCCATTTCTATAAGACCTAAGAATTTGTTCTTTGTGTTTTCTTTGTTTCAGATTTGTACTTTTATTTTCTTCCAGATTGTGCATAATGGAAGTATCGTTTGGAATTTGCTTCATTTGGGTGGAATTTTTGTTAGTGACGAACCAATTAGATATGCGGGTAAGGTACAATGTCTGACAAAGAGATGGGAGGAGGACCCAGATTTGTTTTGTGAGTTTGATATATTAAATTTTCTTCAAGAAAATGGTTTTAAGGAACCTGTTATGATGGCTTATAAAGCAGTCCATCAAACACTGCCTATTGCCGGTAACTTGCTAAAGGGCTCTAACGAATTTGTGAAGATGATAAAGATAGCGTGTTATTGAAACTTAATCTTTTGGAGTCATACAATGCCTTAGTCATTTTGTATGTTTTAATTCAGTACCCCCTACGATGAAAAAAAATCTTTCCAGTTTGACTTGGACACATTTATTAAGAAAATGAGAATGATAAATGTGATTTTTTTTAGACAGGGTACTAATATATAAGGAATAAATACCCTTTAAATAATGTTTAGATATTAATATACTAATTAACTATTCTTGAATTAATATTCCATGTTGTTTAGATAAATTGTACTACCTCCTTTCCATTTCATTTATCTTATTTAATTTAGCAAAACCGTTTATAAAGTGGTCCAAAGGTAAAATTTGGGATTTTTTTTTTTTTGAAGAAAAAGGTATGAATCACATATTTTTTGCTATATAAGGATTTTTTTATTAGAAATAAATATATATTATAAATGACTTTAAAGAGATGACACATCAACTAAAAAATATTAGATGAATCACATATTATATGAATCACATATTATATCTTTTTACGTAGAAATAAATATTAGAAATGACACATCAACTAATAGATTAGAAGACTAAATCCTAGGTGTACAAGACACACAGGCACTTAACGGACACTAATAAATCAGCTTGGGCGAATCATATATTTGTCTTGGATATTGAAAGGATGGCTTTGTTTGAGTAATTATGTATACGATAGACTAGTTTCTTCACAAACTCTAAACGTTAGATTATTTTTGTGTAACAAGCCAAAAATAAATAAATTTCTTTGACATTTGTATATTTTTTCACCTAAAATATAGGCCTCATTTAACTTTTTGCCTCAGGCCTACTTATCTCTAGACACGGCCCTGACTTCAACAACATACCGCACAAGAGTGTAAGCCAAAATGATAATTCAACAACAAGAGATACAATATTAATCAAACCACCAAGGCCACATTTTCCTCGGAACAGTCAACTAATGGGCAACTAATCATGTTCTTGTGAGGTAGGACCTCAAAGAAGGCAAATCACCCCTCATGCATGGCTTAGGCCACATTCGATGTACCGATCTCATAGACTTAGGATGTTTTCTTTTGGACTGTTTTTTGTCCAGACCAAACCAGACCAGATTTAAACAGACCAAATCAGATCAGACCAAACTTTAACAGACCGGACTTGGTCAGTTATAAAATACACAGAGACCAGACATTTACCAAACCAGATCAGACCAGTTCAGACCAAATAATTTTGGTCCAAAAGAAAACATCCTCATACTAGATATTTTCAAAGTAATGGTTTAAATTGTCTGAAAGAGGAAATAAACAAAGAAAATGGGATAAGTTTTGCCAGCTCCTATAGTTAGGTAACCGAAAATGCATTATACCCAAGAGTGAATTCGTTTGGTTCTTGTTTTGCCCACATCCATTTATGAGCAGACGACAGAATTTGTAATACCATCACCCATACACACACATATTTATATTTTATAATGGCAGAAGTGGAAACTGGGGTTGGAATCAACCTTGAATGGAAAGTGGCCTCTTATAGGACTGGAGAAGCAAGGACGAAGAAACGACACTGATAGACGATGCAGCCATGCATGCACCGGCAAGCCAAGGTGGCATACGTATTCCAGTGAAGGGGTACAATACCCCAGCAGCAACCGGCATGCCGAGAACATTGTATGCAAGTGCCCATACATAGTTTAGCCTGATCCGAGACATGGTCTTTCTTGAGAGATCTATGGCAGTGATCACATCTTCCAGGTTGCTCTTGATAAGGACGATGTCTGCAGCTTCAATGGCTACATTGGTGCCCGCACCAATTGCCATCCCAACGTCTGCTGCAACCAGCGCCGGTGAATCGTTTATCCCATCCCCCACCATTGCCACTCCAGCACCTCTCAACTGCAACCAAATAATAAATAAACTGGATAATTCTTATAGCTCGGGTTGGTCTATGTATAATCTTATGCTTGGCTTACAAATGCTGAAAAAGGAAAATTGTGTAAATTTCACTCCCAATGCTACATTCGGAATCCAGAAAATGGTAGGGAAAGGAAAGAAAACGCCTGGGGCCTGTTTACTAAAAGAGATATTTTCCAGTTTCCTTTTTCTGTTTTCATTTTCGAGTTTCCTTTTTCTGCGCTTCTTTGTTATGAAGCAGCAGTCAGTCCACGCAATTTTGGACGCGATTTTCACTATGGGTCATCTGGAAACAGTCTCTCTGTGCTTTAGTACAGGGGTAAGACACTAAGACTGCGTACATCCGAACCCCCCTTACTCCACCGTAGGTGGGAGCCTTTGCGGCCTTGGGGTAAATGAAAATGATGATGAAATGATGATGATTTTCCAGTTTCCTTTTTCTGTTTTCATTTTCCAGTTTTTCTATCTCTAATTTTCAGTTTTCAATTTTTAGTTTTCCATTTTCCATTCTCTTTATCAGGGTTCATAAACAAATCATTTAATTAATGGGCTGCTAATTCTGGATCAAATTATCCAATATAAAATGAAAAAGTGAGCTGGAAAATAAAAATGTAGCAATGGACTAAACTCCGATCATATATCGATTCATGTAGCCGCCCCATACTCTTGGGAATAAGGCTTGGATGTTTTTGTTACTGCAATTTAGTGTTATTCATCTTATTATTTTCCATTGCAATTAGGTTGTTCTAAAAATGAGCTTACCTGCAATTCTCTGATCTTATCTGCTTTTCCCATAGGATCAGTCTCAGCAAACACATCCTGGATTCCAACTTCCTTTGCTATAGCATTAGCAGTTGCCCAGTTATCACCGGTCACAATGACACTTGTGATATTCATCAAGTGGAGAAAAGATATGACGCGAGCAGCCTCAGGCTTCACCGGATCAGTTACGGCAAAGGCTCCAGCCACTCTTCCATCAATGGCAACCAACACACATGTACGGACAAGCTTCTCATTCTCAGAAATGTACTTATCAACCTCATTCCCAACAGGGACATCAAAGGCACACATTAGCTTCTTGTTTCCAACTAAAACTCTTCTGCCTCCGACTCCTCCACTCACTCCAGCTCCTAAGTGGACCTCAAAGTTTTCTACATCGGGAAAATATCCATTTTGGGTCCCACTTTTCTGGCGCAGATTCTTGGCGTGCTCTACTACAGCTTTTGCTACTGGATGTTCACTGTTCACCTGAAGACCAAACCTCTCAAGAGTTACATGGCTACCTGGAAGGTGTCAAGACTCACTGTGCATATTATTATAAAAAACACACACACACACTTATATTAAATTTTTTTGCACGAATTTACATGGAATAAATTCAAGAAAATATATTAGCACAATAAATTTATGTCACCAAACCCATCTTAATTGGCATTAAGGTGACAATGATGATGTTGTTTTCCTTTTCTATTAATTATGAATTCTTGGGAAAATGATGTAAACCCCAAATGATTTGTAATTTACACACATCTTGACAAGAAACCCCAGCCTTTTATTTTATTTTTTCAAAAAATAAAATCGTGAAACATATTATACGACATTTTTTTTCTTTGCATGCATTTATAGTGTTTGGTAAGTTTAGATAATTAATTGATACTACAAATTTCATAGCACTGGTCCAAACTAGTTAGGATAGAAGATTTTGGAAATGATGGAAGACCTACCTCTGTCGCAATAGTTAAATCACAAAACTCTTCCAGAGAAAATCCTGAGAAAAGCACAGCGCTAACCACAGCAGGTTTCCCAATTGTCAATGTTCCAGTTTTATCGAAGACTACCACTTTGATCTACAAAAGCATTAATAACTAACTTGAGACTTTATGCCACAAAACCGTTCATGTCAATGCTTCAGGAATAAAGCAATGTTGAAGCTGGCCAATTAGTTACTTTAATAGTTTCATAAGAAGATGTTCAACAAGGAAGTTCAAATCTTTTGAGTTCGTGATTTGACTTCATACATAATACACAAAAGACCCTCTTCCCACTAAACATTTGGTTTAATTTTAATTGCCCAAAAATAGTTCCATTCAACGGAAACACATGACTTATTGAATAAATTCCAGTTTTGGTCCTATGAGTATCACATCAATTCCGCAACTGGTCAACGTTTTGACTTTGAAAACTTTTGGTACATGACTATTGTGTTTTCGTCCATATATTGTCCTTCCGTTAATGTTTGTGTTGGTTAAAATCGCCGGAAAAGGACCACAAATAGTCAAGAAACATTAGTCAAGTACCAAAAGTGAACAAAGTGAAAGACGTGGATTATGTGTGGAATTGACATAAAACTCATAGGACTAGATAAAATGGAACTAACTAATTGGACGGTAAATAATTCCTCTGTCCCAAAAGGAAAGTCTGGTTTCCAGATTTTGTGTACAAAAAAAGCAATTGTTGAAGTCACATTAAGTAAACTTCCTATAAAGCCAGCAGCAAGTGGTTTTAGTGAAATAAACAACCCAATATTGGATATAAGTTTTCCGAGGTGTAAGAGACCATTCACAACTTGTAAAAGCTCGTACATAGATCAAGTTGATTAAAAACAGTTTTACCGTACTCAAACATCACTTTTTTTTTAATGATGTAGGGAGTACAAATTTAGTTTGCATACCTTATGTGCTTTCTCAAGAGAACTTCCACCCTTGATAAGAACGCCTTGAGAGGCCCCTTTTCCCGTGGCAACCATGACTGCAGTAGGTGTTGCCAATCCAAGAGCACAAGGGCATGCAACCACCAGCACTGATATACTGAATTGCAATGCAAGCTCAAATGAATCCATGCCTTGCGGTATCCATCTTTTGGAGTAAAACCCTAATGCTCCGGGTAAATACCATGCTACCCACGTCACAAAAGCTGATACAACTACCTGACATGAGGTAACTTATATTACGTTCATCCTCTGAAAGATGTTTCAGAATATTCTTATTATACATTTGAAATAATTCAAATTCATAGTACACTGGCCATCACAGGCCTCCTATGGCAGGAAAGCATATTCTACACATCATCAAAAGGGAAATTTAAGAATCTCGCCAAACAAAATTACATATATGGATGATTCAATTAATATTTTGGGTAAATGTTTGCATCCTAATATCCCAATCAAGCAAACGGTCTAAAATGATGGGTGAAAAACTGATTTATGCCTTCTTTTTATCTTATCCTATTGATGGATTATGTATGCAGCCTTTCAACTGCATGTCCCCAA